ATGGACGTTGAGCGCTCTCTCACTGTGATTTTCACAGTGAGAAGTATCTAGTTTAGTGGCTGTCAATGACAGCCACTAGAGGATTAACTTATTGAATTATAGCAGTTTCTCTGAAACTGCTATAATTATGAAAAAATGGGTTAAGCCTAGCTGGACCTGGCACCCAGACCACTTCATTAAGCTGAAGTGGTCTGGGTGCCTAGAGTGGTCCTTTAACCAGTTGCGACATATGAAACCTGTCAATGGAATTTCTCTCTTATACGCTTATAGAACATTTGGACCAGATTACACAGACATGGTATCACCTGCATTTGTCAGAACTCTCAAAGACTCAAAATATTTATACTACTCCATGTTAAAGGCATGGCAAAATTTTGACCGGTCAATTTGAGTTTCCAAAAGTCATATCAACACAGGTAAAAACCTTTGTCCATGGTTTTCTGATCCTACATTCCATGACCAAAATTTCAAACCCACTTCTGCACAGTTTGGGTCGCAAGCAATAAAATCTCAGCAACCCCATACAATAATTTACAGAATACATACAATTTAAAGCACATACAACATGTGACGTACTGGAATACTACAAGTTAGCTTACAGCACAATATGAAGCATGTGTTGGAACGCTGAAAATATACATTTTGCTCTCTAATTCATAATCATCTAAATTTACAACATAAGTTCTCTGCAACAAACACTCAGGGCAGAAAGAATGTGGTGTTTGACGTTTTGAATGAAGTGACTTTTTGTCCCAATATGAAAATAAAGGGCTCATCATATAAACAATCATACATCCCATTCTCATGAAAAAGTGTAGTGGGCTTATAGTACTTTTGACCAAATATAAAAATAAGGGGCTCATTATGCAAACAAACATACATGCAGAGAAATCATGTTAGTTCTAGAATTTGTAGCCCCCCTTAAATAACCTCTAGTTTTTTCTTATTCATCATCACCTTTACATGTACTTTTGACATTCCCTCAATTAAGACTTTATGCTTAAAATCAGCGTTGCACATCATAAAATAGCACATAAATTAGCAAGCCGGAGTAATGCCAAACATCCATCATACCTTTTAACCCCCTTTTTTTTTTTTAAACCATTTTAGTCTGCCAAATTTACATCTACGTTAAATAAATACCACAGTCCACCAAAGACTGGAAATCTGTTTTACAACCTACCAAAGGCAACCTCTACCAAAGAGGGATCTAGGGACGTCTCCCATATGTAAATGTACATCACAGGTACATCACAGCCTACCAAAGGCTTGAAATCATTTTTAACACCTGGCCAAAGGTGAACCTCGTACCAAAGAGGAAATGTGCACATAACTACTACTACCTACCAAAGGCAATCCTCCAACCCGTGGAGTAATAGAAGTCTACCTAAGACTTAACAAAATACCATGTCTACCAAAGACATTATCCTGTGAAAATCCCCTTTAAAAATGTAAATAGTGAAAAACCCCATTAAAACAAGAAATGCAACACACACCCAGACACCTCCCCTGAAACCCTATGGCTAGCACATAAACCAGTAATCAGAGGATTGATCATAGGGAAAACCAGCGCGTTAAAGCAGAAATCACAAGCAAAACTAAAGGAACACTTGACAGCCCTCTACCGCCTTAATAAGCAAAACCAATTGACCCCAACACCGCTGTTAAAAACACTAATACAAGAAAAGTTAGAGGAAATCAAGACACATGACCTGGCGAAGATGGGATTTAGCCTTAGGAAACTCAAAGCAACACAATACACACAGGGGAACAGGGCAAGCAAGCTTTTAGCCAGACGACTAACACAACAAAGCATAAAGGCAAAAATCCCATACCTGCTGAACTCACACGGGGGAAAAAAAGTGACACCAAAAGAAATAAGCGACATTTTTGCCGAATACTACACGACACTGTACAATCTAAAGCAAGAACCTAACACAACACATACAACCCCTGGACACATAGAGCGCTACTTGGACAACATAACCCTACCCTCTCTATCGGAGGAGCAAATAGAATCCCTACAAGTCCCCATCACCACAACGGAAGTCCTGCAAGCCATCACACGCTTACCCCCCGGGAAAGCACCCGGCCCTGACGGTCTTACGAACACATATTATAAGAAATATGCGGGAATACTAGCGCCACACCTGGCACACCTGTTTAACGCAGCAACCCAAAAAGGAGAGGCGCCTGCGGAAATGCTGGGGGCCCACATAGTCACTCTACCCAAACCAGGAAAACCCCCCACCTGCAGTCAAAACTTTAGACCAATTTCATTGCTCAACACTGACACTAAACTATATGCTAAAATCCTAGCCACTAGACTGACCCACATCATCCCCACATTAATACATGACGATCAAGTGGGCTTCACCACTGGGCGACAAGGGTCGGACAATACAAGAAAAGTAGTGGACCTAATGCAGTGCTTACTCCGTAGCCGGGGGGGGGGGTCCTCCTATCCCTGGATGCGGAAAAGGCGTTTGACCGTCTAAACTGGTCTTTCCTGCAAGCTGTACTCCAAAAATACAAGTTCCCCCAGGGATTCCTGAGGGCAGTACAGGCATTGTACTCCCACCCCACAGCTAGAGTACTCAATGCAGGGTTTATATCTAAACACATCACAATAACCAATGGCTCTCGACAGGGCTGCCCCCTATCCCCGCTATTGTACATCCTAGCGCTGGAGCCACTGGCAGCAGCGATAAGAGCAAACCGGTCCATAAAGGGTATAACCCTGGGAGACAGAGAGTATACACTCAACCTTTTTGCAGACGACATCCTTGTAACGATCACACACCCCCTCACATCCCTGCCAAATTTAATGACACAAATACGTGAATATGGGGAGGTCTCGTACTACAAGCTGAATATCACCAAGACGCAAGCTCTAGGGATAGGACTTAACGCTGACCTATTGGGCAGGTTACAGACGGCATTCCCGCTGGACTGGAGAAATGACTACTTGACGTTTCTGGGACTTAAGCTATCCAAAAACCCAGCACACCTTTTTAAACTAAACTACGAGCGCATACAAACAGAAATCATAGACACCATACAAAAATGGAGAGGTAAATTTCTTTCGTGGACAGGCCGCATAGCAGCGGTAAAGATGACACTCATACCTAAAATCCAGTACCTATTTAGAACACTACAAATACCCGTCCCGAAACGGTTTCTAAAAAGCGTACAACACTCGTTAAGCACATTCGTCTGGGAAGGGAAAAAGGTACGAGTAGCAGCAGGAACACTACACCAAACAGTGAGCAAAGGCGGGCTGGGTCTGCCAAACCTAACAACGTACTGTAGGGCAGCTTATCTACACAACATAGCCCAAATTAACCGCCCGGCCCAAGCCCCGCAGTGGGTAGCAATAGAATCCCACTGGGCCCCACAACACAACCTCAGGGCGATACTATGGCTACAGAAGTGCCCCAAACACATAAGAGAAAACCTGCTACCCAGCACACAGAACTTGATGAGGGTATGGAACACAATGAGAAACAATTTGGTGTCCAACCCCAAATTACCCCTGGCCACACCAATACAAACAATAGGCATGGAAATACCTACATTCCGTGAAGACACCTGGAAGAGAGGGGGAATACACCACATATACCAGGTCATTGACAGAGGCAAACTGAAAACACTACCAGATATACAAACGGAATACACACTGCCCACCACAATCGCATTTTCCTACCTGCAACTTAAATCATATATAACAGGCAAACTAAGCAAACAACCGGGTATAGCAGATGAAGCAACCATGACGGTTTTTGAAAAACAATGTGTAGGAATAGCACCACTAAAGAAATCAATGTCATGGGGATACCATAAGTTAACCCTAACACAAGCGCATACACTAGAACAGATCAAGAGAGACTGGCACAGGGAAATAGGTCAGACATTCCCAAGGGAAATCTGGGAGAGGTCCTACTCGGTCCACAGAGGACTAACAGCGTGCGCATCGCATTTGGAACTGCAACGCAAAATTATGTACCGATGGTACCTAGTGCCAGCAAAACTACATGCCATATGGCCGCACACAAGTAACAAGTGCTGGAGGTGCGGGGGAGAGGTAGGCACGATGCTTCACATCTGGTGGTCCTGTGACAAAATAAGCCCATTTTGGGAAGCGGTGTCCACACTCCTGAACGACATAACGCATAATATAAGGGTAGACACACCACAAGAATGCCTATTATTCATGCTACCAACCAACATCCCAAAACATCTTAAAATCATTATATACCACACACTAATATCAGCGAACTTGCTGATATCCAGGCTATGGAAACAAACCACAACACCATCAATAGCCGAGTTGATGAGGCAAATGGACCTTAATTGGTCTTATGAGTTAATGGCAACGACACAATTCGGAACCCGCCCGTGTATAAGGGAAGCCCACGAGATGTGGGAAAAAGGCAAAAAACCCGCAAACGAGTAACAAGATATAACACCAGCCCCCTTGTCCCCCCCCGTCCCCCTTCCAATCATCCATGCCAGGGAATGCTGAACGCAACACACAGTAAAGGATACATAGCGAAGTATCGAGCATCAACATGTAATCACAGGAGAGGGGGGAAGAGAGGAAAAAAAAAAATTAAAAAAAATAACCGCAATCTAATAACAAGGCACAAACACCACCGGGAAACGAGACAATTAGTAATCTGGCCAGGTACGCAACAAAATACCTTCACCCAAAAGGACTCTAGTACCCGAAACTAAAACAGACCAAAACAAGGGTAGAACTCATAACAAAAACATGAAGGGGCTATGTGACGCATCAAAAAGTGTAAAAAGTGTAAAATGTGTAATAAAGTTAACAAACCAACCGCTGTAACCTGCAACTTGTACCCTGCACCCCTCCCTTTATCTTTTGTACCCCACTACCCCACCCATACTGTTTTGTGATATGTAATTGACTAAACCAAAACACGAATAAACTTCAAGTTGTAAAAAAAAAAAAACAAGAAATGCAATGTGTGGGCGGATGGCAGAAGCAGGCAAAGGTCCCCAACCCCTTAAGGACACACGACAGAAATACTCCGTCATGATTCCCTTAAATTCCAGAAGTTGTGTCCCCAAGGGGCTAAAGACCCTCTTACCTGCTACTCCGTTCCCAATTGCACCCAAACTTCTGACACCAGTTTGTTGGGGATAAAATCAGCCTGGGCCCTTTGTGGATGATGGATATTTGCCAACTCATACAGAGCTCTGGAAATTGGAAATGAATAGCAGAGACGTGTTCAATAACCAATTCAAATTGTATTCATACGTCAGTTATATTTATAACCCATTTTCATAGCAGGATGGGAGGGGGAAAAATGACCATATGGGCGTGACAATGACATTGTTTTTCACAAGTTATAAACAGCTGTTTTTAGTTATAATTCGATGTTACATAATGTATGCATATTGGATAAAACCCAGATGATTACAAATACAGAAATCTTGGACAATTAACAAGGTCATTCCAGAATCCTTATCATGTCATGTCATGTCATGTCGTGTCATGCCATGTCATGTCATGTCATGTCATGTCAATATCTTTTTTCCAGGAACATAACAAAATCATGTTTCAATAACATTTCTGAGAATTGGATAAGTCATTGTGACATGAGATACAATTCCAAATTTATTCTTGATTCAAATTAACCCTTACATGAACAGTTAGGATATAGAGCAAAATGGATATTCGCATCTACAGTTACTTTTTGCCATAACGCTAGAACCCCTCCTACAAACAATTTGCCAAAACCAGGATATACGGGGATTCCCATGGAGAGAGGGTGACCAAAAAGTGGCCGCATACGCGGACGACCTCCTCTTCTTCATTAGCAACCCGAGGGCTACACTACCATGCCTGCTAGCAGAATTCGACAAATTTGGACTAATTTCGGGATTCAAACTCAACTACTCCAAGTGCGAGGTGTTGAATGTAACGATCCCGGGGGAGGAATATAGAGCACTGGAAACTTTTAAATGGTGTACCACCAAGATGAAATACCTGGGCATATGGATAACACCTGACCCGAAAGACCTATACCACCACAACTACACTCCCTTGTTACAGACGCTGCTCAGGGACTTAGTCAAATGGTCATACCCACACATCTCTTGGCATGGACGTGTAGCGGTCCTGAAGATGAATGTCCTACCACGCCTTCTATACCCATTTCAGACTATCCCAATCGCCATTCCACCCACATTCTTCAACACACTTAAATCAGCGGTTCTTCGATATGTATGGAGGGGCGAGCGCTCAAGAATCAAACACGAAACGCTCTGCCTACCCAGACATTGCGGGGGACTTGCCCTGCCTGACTTTAAGAAATATTACCAGGCAACAATCTTACAACGTATCCTAAACTGGCACTCGAAGACAGAACAAAAACAATGGGTATCCCTGAACGCGGAAGGAAACAGCGCAGCTCTACACTCCACCATATGGGATACACAGGGACTCGACACACCGGATGACTATGGACCGGTAGCACAGACGATACGTGGCTGGAGACCCCTAAGGGAGCAAAAACACGTATCACCAACACCGAGCCCACTGCTGCCTATTACCTATAACCGCTAAATAGGGGGAGGAATTCTCACACGAACTGGCCCATTCTCGGAAGAACAGGGACATGTCCCTATTCATACGGTACTTCAACATGGCACAATCCGTTCCCTGGACTCGCTGCTGAATGGCAGACCATGCACTTTACAACTAATGCTCAGATATCTCCAAGTGAAACACTTCCACAGTTCGCTTCACAACAAAGACCGTCTGAATCGGGAACTCACATGGTTCGAGGAATGCTGCACGAAAGCTGTCGAACTCGACAAAACAATTTCCATACTATATCAACACCTCCTAATCGGACACCTAACTGAACATGACACGTACCGCGGTACATGGGAGAAACTCCTTGCTAAACCATTCACACGACATCAATGGGACAAAGCGCTGCTCTGGCACCATAAAAGCACCATTAGTTCACAATTTCAGGAAACGAACTATAAATTGCTAGCAACATGGTATAGAACACCCTCGCTCCTTCACAAAATATACCCATCTACCTCACCAATCTGCTGGAGGTGTCTGACTGAACAGGGATCTACGATCCACATATGGTGGGAATGCAGCGTGATCATCACTTACTGGGAAATGATTAGAGTGGCGGTACGTGAGGTCCTAGGAGATGGGATTGATTGGTCACCCGAATTAGCTCTACTCCACATATCACCGATGCCAATATCCAGCTATAAAAAATCGATCTTACGACACCTATTGAATGCGGCCAAAATACTCATACCCATATATTGGAAAAAAACAGAAACACCGAAAAGGGAAGAATGGATACGCAAAGTAGAAGAAATCCAGGGAGCAGAAGCGATACATGCATCTCTACTTGGCAGAGCCACCAAACACGCAGAGACCTGGATGCCCTGGTTCATGTTCATCTCAGGAGGCCTCCAGGGGGACGTCGGCGGAGCTCCTCACGGGTAAGGACGGGGGCTCTGAGCGATGGCCCGTCCCACGGGCCCCGGCCATCTGGAGCGGCGGTGGCGCAGGAACGGGCGGCTCCGTCCTTACACTCCTCCCCCTCTCCCCCCTCTCTCCTCTTCTCCCTCTTCTTACCAACCCGTACCCCCCCCCCACCCCGTCCTCTCCCTATACCTATACCCCATTCCTCCTCTAACTTTCTTAACTACATATTAGATGAGCCGGGAAATCCCAACTCATAGATAGGCAGACGGACGTACAACCTATCTGACCAAAACTACACACACAGACCATCGCCAGAAATATGCGACAGGCTCACTACTGAACAAAACAACACAAACACTGACTCGGACAGCATTAACCATTAGACAACAAAAACTAACAAACCACGCATAGCAGTCACATAAGGATATCATCAGGTAACCGGACCGACCTACTGATACATTGACACTGACGGCTAATCATACAATGTATAACCAGCGCCTTATCAGAGGCCTCACCTGACGGCCAACAAAGATAAGGGTAACGATAAGTAGCATGCAGATGGCATTCAGTTCCCGCCCGAAACCCGACAATTGTAACACGGGACACTGGATGAAGATGTACACGCCACCTATTTTGACATTAACAATGGCAAGACTATGCTTGTATGAAATAATGCACCCATTTGTAAACCATGCTAAACCGAAACTTGGTACTATACCTCCACGAAAATGTTTGTACTGAATTAATATGCAAAAAAAAAAACCTCAATAAAGGATTTTCAAAAAAAAAAAGAAAATGGTTAAAGGGACACTATAGTCACCTGAACAACTTAATTAGGTTGTTCAGGTGAGAACAATAGCTCCATGCAGCCTTTCTCATGTAAACACTGTATTTTCTGAGCAAATACAGTGTTTATATTGGAAGCTAGAAACACCTCCAGTGGCAGTCACTTAAACGGTAACCAGAATAACTTCCGAGTTCATGAATCCCTAATTCGCATTCATCACGTTTGATGTCTTCACGCTTGGGTGAAGACATCAAACATGCTATCAGGAGACAGGAGGCACTGTGAACGCGCCTCCTGTCTCCTGTAGTAACCTGGAGCTTGTGAGCAATAAGAGCCTAGTGTGGGAGATAACAATCTCCTGCACATAGCGTGGGCCCGGGCTGACAGGCTGAAAGCAGGAGGCAGGAGAATCTACTACCTTCAAACAGTAAGTAAACTTATTAAGTGTTCTTGCATAGCAAGACCACTTAATGTTATCTCACATATATATTATTAAGTGTTCTTGCATAGCAAGACCACTTATTGTTATCTCACATATATATTATTATTCTTATTATAGCCAAATTTGCCACCCTAACTCCTCCCACAGTTTTTACACTACATAATCAAAAATTTACCAAAACGTGCAGATTGTTCCCGATCGGATTGCTATTACTTTGTGGAACGTTTGGCCGAATGGTTCACGGAATATCGTCGTTCTTGTGGCGAAATTTGTCCCATAGGAATGAATGGCAAAGCTAGAGTGGGAGCTGGCAAAAGCTGAAAAATCAGGACATGATTTCTAAACTGCCACCACTCCCTTATTTTCAGGCCCACCTACACAAATCTTATATCAAAACGTTCAGCTATCCCTGCTGCCACTAAACATGTCAACGGCTAAGCCATAGTCCTGATAGTTTTCACAATATAATCATTTGTTTGCAACTAACGCCGTCCATTGACTTTCATTGAAACTTCACTCTGCAAAGCTCAAATTTGAAGTGCAATTTCTAAACTGCGACTGTGCCTTCAATTTTAATACTTCAGAGACATACTATGCATCAAAATGTAGGTCTGGGTCTTGTGATTCTCACAATATAAAGCTCTTCGCTGTAGGATTTATAGTTTTTAAAATACGACCATTTGAAGATGGCAACCGCCAAAATACTCTGACCTGTGTTAGGCTGCAGCAGCAAGTGATGTCATAGACAGGGCCTTTTGAACACCTGCTAATGTTTTTATAAATGTATGGTTTAATGTAACTGTGCAACAACGTTGCAATTAAATGTGCTATATAAATGATAACAGTTACTCCGCCCACTCCAGTTGTAGACTACTGATGGAGGTAAGAACACTTCACACAATTTCCCCAGAAATTGTAGTTTTTTTAAAATTGAGAGTGAGTGTATGAGTGAGAGAGTGAGAGTGAGTGAGATTGGGAGAATGAGAGTGAGTGAGATTGGAGAGTGAGAGTGAGTAAGATTGAGTGAGAGTAAGATTGAGTGAGAGAGTAAGATTGCGTGAGAGAGTAAGATCGCGTGAGATTGAGTGAGTGAGTGAGATTGAGTGGGTGAGTGAGAGAGAGAAATAGATAGAGATAGATATAGATAGTGTGTGTGTGTGACAATATTTATTTAAAATGTGTGTTTGTTTACAAACACTATATATAGAGATATCTCTATATATAGTGTTTGCATACAAACTTTGCATACAAAGAACGCGATTGGTGCAGCGCAAAGCCGCACATACACATAACAGAAGTGTCTGATTGAGTCCTGCTATTTCGTCATAAGACTGTGCTCATTGTTCGAGAGTGGTCAGTTCATGCGCAGTCCTGCATGGCCCTACTTAGATCACTATAATTAACTGGATTCTCCTGCACGAGAATCTGAGAGCAGGCAATACAGCCATGGGCACCTGGTATGACTGAGATAAATTGTCAAACTGTTCTAAAACGGTATAACAAATTACACTGGGATGGCACCAGGACAAG